TGCTGTCTGGGGCCTCTGGGCATGAACTACAAAGCAACCTGCAGATGGCTGCTACTTGCGCCAGTCTTTGAGATGCCCAGGAGAGGCCAAGCTGTGAACCAAACCCAGTTGCTGCTAGTGCCAGGCCTGTGGCCACTTAGCAAGAGGTAAGGGGAATGCCAAAGCTAGATGCTATTTGTTTTTGAGAGATTTTAGGCAAGTGTGAAGAAAGCATAAGCCAACACAGGCCATGTGTATGAAAATGCCACTAGAAATAGTTGGGTATGCCCACAAGTTGGGTGGGGTGGGGTTTCAGGGAATTACCAGGGCAGGCTAGCAGTGATAGCCAGGTTGATGGAGACTTAGATGTGTTGCAATGTGGCTCCATGGGCGTAGGGTTTAGCAAAGGAACAATGGCCTCTGCCAGCACTTCTGTCTGGGAGAAAGCTGCCCTTCCAGCCCTGGCCCCAATGCCATATAATTCAGTCCCTCCTTGGATGTCCCTGGTACCTTTCAAGCTTCTGCCTCAGCACTGAAGCTCAGAGGAAGTGAGTCAAAGTACTTGTGGACCCTTTAAGAGAAATAGCTGGGACTCCATAAGCACTCTGTCTCACTCAGCCACAATCCCTACTGGTATTTACAGCCAGAAAATGTGGGGACTTTCTAACTGGAACCCTGGGCTGGGGGGCCTGGTGTGGGGTTGGGACCCCTTACTTCTCAGTGAAGATCTCCTCAGCCAAGATATCCCTCCTGGTTTTTATCCGCCATACGTGGGTGTGGGACCAGCCTGTTCTGTATCTCTGTCCCTTCTACCAGTGCTTCTTCTAGTTGTAGGACTTCCATTTAGAGAGGTGTCAGGTGGTTCTGAATGATGGTTGTTCTGAAGTTTAGTTGTAATTTTGATTTGCTTGTGGGAAAATGTGAGTATGCCACAATCATGACTAAATCTAATAAATTTGCCATTTTAAGAGGTTTTCAGCTTAGCATTTTAATCTAGTGGATTTCTTAAAATATGCAAATGATTATCCGCAGGATGGATTAGTTGTTAAGCAGTATTTTCACAACTCAGATGGATCCCAAGCTCTGTCACAATTCTTTTTTTTTTCTTTCTTTCTTTTTTTGTTCTGCCGTAATTCTTGATGTGGTACTACACTCACTTTATTCCCCACAGGTTTTCTCTTCAGTGCTGGTCTATCAGTGTGAATGAACCAATCTAACATCCTAGCATCCCACAAAAGGGTCACACTCTTTTACTAGTGCACACATGTTGCAATCAAGAAAAAAAATATATATATATATTGAGGACTAATAACCAATAACAAAAAAAGGTAATAATGTAAAATAAACCATGTAAATGTTTATACTACATTCTATAAAGAACTCTAGAATTAGAAGAAACTTTAGGGAAAAAATCTAGATTAATCATTTGAACCAAATTGTGCCTGCTAGGTTCTTTTTCTCAGTTTAGCATCAAGGCTAAATGATTAAGCCTCTCTGTAAATTCTCAGGAGCCTCTGAGAAGTCACATTAAACCATGAATACAAGAAAGCAGACATAAAATGGTCAGCAAATAGAGAACAATGAAGCAAAAAAAGGCAAAGACTAGAGACTGGAAAAGTTGCAGGTTTTCCAGTCCCTGGTACCTAATAAGGTCTGTCTGCATTTGGCTCCCATCAAATTCCTTTCTTTCTTTTTCCTAAAACTAGTTCAAGTTCATTTCTGTTACTTGTAGCAGAAGCTTAAATAATGAAATAACCAAAATCCTCTATAAAGTCAATTGATTGATTCATTAATGGTCTATCTTTCCTATTCTTTCCTTTCTCTTTATTTGTATTTCCTTAAGAGTTATAAATATGACTTTGGTTTGCTACAGAGACAAATATGTGAACAGAGACCCAGGATTTATTTCAAAAGTAAAACCCATCATGCCCAGGGAAGAGAAAATAGGAATATTCAAGTAAAACCCTTGAGATATCTTTACAGCAAACAGAGATGCTAACTAACAGCTGGCAAATTAATTACCCTCCTATTGAAAGCCAATTACCCTCCTATTGAAAGCCAATTTAATTCTGAATAAAAAGATGGGTAAGTCCAATTCAGTCTCCTCTGAGATATGATCAAAGGTGAAATTCCATATATGGTATTTCATCTGGAATACTCACACACACAAAAAGCCACAGTCCTCTCAATCATAGAAAGGTTTGGGTTCTCTCCAATGGTATCCCTAACCCGGATGCAAATTCCAAAACTGAATACCAAACCATCTTAGGGCCTGGGCTTAACATTCCCCAAAGAGCTGTTAGGCATTTTCCCTGTGATGTAACTAGCACTTCCTGGTATCAGGAAGACATTCACAGAAGCTTAATATTATGGAACTCTGTCCAGGTGTGTGTGCATGTGCCCGGTATTAAGACATTCCTGAGGCAGATCTGGGCCCCCTAAAACTGGACCAACACCCATCAGACTACAAGCAGACCAGTTTAGCATGTATAGCAAGTCAGAGTTGACAATCAGAAGTCTGAATCAAGGTAGTGGGTGGCACTGCAGGAATCTATAAACAAAAACAGTATTATAGGATCCTGAGGTTAGAAGGGACTTGGGAACTATATCCAACTTCATCATTTTACCAAGAAGCAAATTAAACATCAGAACCAAATTCATCAACTAAATGCCTAACTACAATGAGTATCAAAGGTGAGACAACATCAAAGGTACTGTGATCAAATTATGATAGACCCTAAAAGCATGTGGTACATTATTTCAACTTTATTTACTAAAGTTGCTCTTTAATAGTTGAAAATTTATTTTTAATTTTTAAAAAAGGATAAGGAAGTTTAAAAAAATCCATAAAAACTACTTATTGGGGCAATTTTTTGATATTTTGTTACTTGATTTTAGCAGAAGAGTAAAGATTTCTAACCTACTGAGTTAACATTTTAGTTAAGATATTAGAGCAAGCACCTTTAAAAGCCAAATAATGGGTGTGGATTCTAAACCTAAATGATATATGCTTGCAGCCTTGGCAGACAGGCAGTTTAGGCACTGTGACAAAATTCTAAAGGGCAGAGAGATACTTCTGATTTTAATACCAAAAAAAATTGAGACATGCACATAAGGCATTAATGAAAGTCACCAGAAATTAGACTTATATGTCAGCTGGGACCAAAATCAAAAGAATAAATGTTTAAATAATTTAAATATAAACTTGATGTTCACAATTGCTGGCAGAGGCCATATATGGTGGATTTTTTTTCTTCAAGGGCTGTTTACTAGAGTAAACAGTATTAAGTAAGTCAACATATCACTGAGGTAAAAAAAAAAAAAAAAATACATCTATTTCCTGCACAATCCACTATTTATAGTGCAGCACAGTATTTTTTTTAGAAGACCATTGATAAAATGTAGTTAGAACTTGTTGTATTTCCCAAGAAGTGCTATTAAAGTTACTCCTAAATTATGAATTCATAAAAAGTAGATCTATTTTTTATTATATTTTATTAATTTTTTACAGAGAGGAAGGGAGAGGGATAGAGAGTTAGAAACATCAATGAGAGAGAAACATTGATCAGCTGCTTCCTGCATACTCCCCACTGGGCACGAATATGAAATTGATATTACTTAAATTAATATTTTTAATTGCACATTTAATAAAAAGTTAAATATTTTTAAACCTCCCATTAATCTGAATTGACAATTTATAAGTTACATAATCCTGAAGACTTTTTATAGGAAAAACTAACTTTTAAAACCTACTTTGCCAACAATGCTGCAAATGGAAAAACAGGAAGAGATAGCCAGAGAGTGCTGCATAGAACCTAAGCTTAAGAATCAGCTTTCAACTAATGTATCAGTCTATTTGTTAGTCATCTCTTATTTTCAACAGTTTAGTCTACGGGTGGTAAAAACAAAACAAAACTAAAATTTCTTAAGGAAATCTCAACTCTGAGGACTTACAACTTCTGTCCCTTGGAGCCAGATAAAATTAACAACTGAGCTCTGATAACCAGATACTGATCACAAAATAGAAAAGTTCATGCACTTTCACATTTACCTTAAACTCTGAATTAGTGCTTTCACATAACTTTTATAATAATCGTATATTTTAAAAAAACAAAAAACTCATTGATACTGCCACATGGTTTAAAGAAAACTATCCTGAAAGATTGTTCTAAGAATTCAAAACTGCCCAACTTGAAAGCCACCAGTCCTAAACCAAATAATGGAATGGCACCTTTCGTTCCTATAGTTCCGCTTGAAATAGTTAATGCCGGGGAAAACTTTAAAAACACGGACTTGGATGCTTTTTTTCCGCTTAAAAACAAAACAAAACTGGTACCTGGCAAACTCGGGGTTCCCTGTGGTCCTGGCCTGGTAAGTGCCAGCCGGGCGGGCCCGCGGGAGCCTGAGCCGCCAACGCGGAGGGGGCGGCTGCCAGGCCGGGGGTGCCCCCTCGCCCGCCCCCGGTCCCGGCGCTGCCCCCGCGCCCCGCGCCCCTGCCCTCCCTCCCCGGCGCGCCGGCAGCGCGGGCCCGGCTGGCACCTTCCCACGCGCCGGCCCGTTATCCGAGCCGCCACTTCAGCGGGGCCGACCTGCGCGGAGCGGGGACCCCGGGAGCCCCGCCGACAGCCCCGCGCCCCCGGACCGGGCGGCACCCCTCCCCGCCTCCGGCCGCTGCCCCGCCCGCCCCCCTCCCGGGCCCCGCGCCCCGCGCCCGGCGAGAGCCCCGCGGGCTCAGGTTCGCTCCGGACGGATAAGGTGTCAGCGCGGCGGCCAGGCGCCGCCCGTCGGCGGGGCGATGCCAGCCCTGACCTGGTTCCCGCCGCCCCCGCCGCCCCGCCGCCCGCGGGGGCGCGACCCCCGCCGCCCTCCGCCACCCCCCGCGGCTGGGAGGGCGCCCCGCCGGAGGCTGGGGGGCGCACGGCGCTCGCGGGGGCCGGGGTCGCGGTCCCGCTCCAACTTGGCAGAATCGGGGAGGGCGGGAGGGGTGCGGGGGCCGGGGGGCGGAGGGGAGCGCCACTCACCGGGCTGCACGGCTCCTCGCGCCGCCGCCGCGGCCAGGCAGACGCAGAGGCAGAGCGAGAGGGGGCGCGGGAGGGTCCGCCGCGGGCGCATGGAAGGCGCAGGAGCCGCCGCCGCCGCCGCCGCCGTCCGAGCCTCCCTCCCTCCTTCCCTCCCTCCGCGGCTCCGGGCGACGGACGGGGCGGCGGGAGGCATGACGGGAAATTCCTGGGCACGGGCCGCCGAGTCCAAATATGAGCAAAGGAGACAGCGAGGGAGGACGGCGAGCGCGCCCGCCGCAGACGGGGCCGGCTGCCCGGCCTTGGCGGCCGCCAGCTCCCACCTCTTCCTCCTCCTCCCGTTCCTCCTCCTTAGCCGCCCAAGGATGACCCCGGGGAGGGAAGCCGCTGCCCGGGGCACCCCTTTCCAACGTGGGCGCCCAAGGGCACAGCCGAGCATCCCACCCGCGGATCCCACCTGAGACCCCGGGGGTGGGGGTGGGAGGGAGAGAGGCGCCCCCACCAGGAGGCCGGACAGCGAGCCGGGGGCCAGGGGGAAGGGGTGTGAGAGTTAGGGGAAACTCTTGCGCTGCCCCTCATCAGCTGTGAGCTATGGTAGCGAGGGGGTGAAGGATTAGGCAAGTACTTCTCTTAAAGTGTGGGAGGGTGAGACTGGAGCCACACTTCCAGTTATGCACCCACTCAGGTGAGCCATCCTGGGGACAACAAGCAGGCATTATAATACTTAAAACCACCTCCTGCATCCCAGGTGAGGGGCCTTCTGCACCAGGTGTGATGTGGGGCGTGTGTGTGTGTGTGTGTGTGTGTGTGTGTGTGTGGTGGTGGTGTATGCGTGTTTCCTTAGCCAGAATTACAAAGGAGCTCTTCCAAATGTATATCTGAACACCATATATGGAGTTGAGGCAGGTTGAGGGACAGTAGTTGTTCACACTACCTAAATGCTGATGTGTAGACCTGCCGTTCTTTCTGCCTCCAACCTCTTTTCATCTCCCTTAAACCAGTCCTGTACTTACTGTAGCTTGTCTTAAGGACAATGTTGAAATTTAGTCAAAAGGTGCTACCTCTCATGGTCAAAATGTCAATCCCAGATGTGCAATTACAGGCCTACGCCAGTAGTACCCTGACTTTTCTTTGGCACTGATAACTCCTCCAGGAACCAAGTCCAAATGACCCTTAGCTTTCCAAGACAACATAATTATGTCTTAATTACTGTAATTTATTTATTTCACTCACACTAATGGGGACAGGCCCTGGGGATGTAGGATGTTATGTAATTACTTGAGAACATTTTAAGATGCTACAGAAATGATTTATTGATGCAGAATACTTAAGGGGTAAATGTCAAACAGATTTAGAGCATGGGTTATTCTAACATGAACTAAAGAATGGTAATTTGTACATCACACTGTTTGAAAATGCTACATATATTTGAAAATTATAAATTTTATTTCAAAACAAGTTCCATTTTGGCAAAGTATTAAAGCCCATATGCCAAAAACCAGTCCATTTGCAAGTGGCTCCCCTTAAATCATCTGTTACTGAGGAACACCACAGCCTTGGCAAGGGGACAGAGTTCCCCTTCATGTACTAGCAGTAACAATGGGACTAAAGGCCGATGATCCAAGTCAACTAACAGTCAATAAACTGATCTGGTAGATACAGGATTTATTCAACTCGGGTATCTAGAAGCTGGGTAGTTGGAAGGGGATACTCAGGAAACTTTTACATATTACCTCCCTTTCCTTTTTTTTTGTATATTTAACTATGTTTTTATATAAGCATCTGTTTTTCTTAGTTTTCCCACAACACCTCGCATAGTTCTTTGTCCATAGTGTAACTATTTATTTAAAAACAACAGTAAAGTGAGCACGGTCGTTTGTAGATTGACATAGAGTAGTAGGGGCTCCCTAAGTGTAAAGAAAAGCTTGTTTCAGCCGGCACCGGTTTAGCTCAGTGGATAGAGAGTCAGCCTGTGGACTGAAAGGTCCCGGGTTCAATTCCGGTCAAGGGCATGTACCTTGGTTGCAGGAACATCCCCAGTAGGGGGTGTGCAAGAGGCAGCTGGTCGATGATTCTCATCTACGTTTCTAACTCTCTATCCCTCTCTCTTCCTCTCTGTAAAAAATCAATAAAGTATATTTTTTAAAAAAAGAATAAGAAAAGCTTGCTTCAAATGATTGTCATAATTATGGCTATATTTTAAATATTTTGGTTGACCTTAAATACAAAAATGTAAAATTATAAAGCCTGCAATCTCATGGCAACCTAATTCCTGTTAATACAATTGGAGAGTTAATGAGTTGGATCAACTCTGCTGACCTCACAGGCAGCAATACCAGCAGCTATTCTAAAGGCCTGAAGAAGTACATTAAAGAGAGGATAAAAGAACTGAAGTTACTAGGTGAATAATAAGTGCCAGGCACTATGCTAAATCTTTTACACTTGGTATTTTATGTAAGCCTTACAGATATCTCTGACTTATTTTTTATCTTTATTTTACAGGTACAGAGACAGAGGCATAGATAAGTGAATGATGCTACCAGGAAGGGGTGAAATGCAAAGTCCATATTAATTTCATTCTTCTACCATCCGGATCTGTCCCATTTCCTCTACAACTTGAAAAGAAAGCAGCATTCAAAAGCTGTATTCTTTGGTTTTAAGTAAGTGGTGTGCACTCAGGTTACCTCAAGCAAAAGGGATAAAGAATACATGTGGAAATAAGACCAGAGGCTTAACCGGCTTGTCAAGTCATCCTTTGTGGGCCTGAGGGTTGGGATCCGTGCCTCTGATAGATACCAGGAACTAGAAAGGCTCTACCCTCTGACCACATTCCTGGGAGTTTTATAAATTTAACCACTGATATTCAAATCACATATTTCACAATGTTTTCTATAGTGTCTTTTTTTTTATTATTATAATCTTAATAGCAATCATGCTAACATATTACCTTCAACACGGTTTGTTTTTAAGACAGAGGGCCCAGAGGAGGTAACATCTTTCCCTGCTTTCTATATACCACCCCTTCCCCAACCTAGTGGTGTGCTAGTAATGGCTTAACAACTAGTTCTGGAGGAGGGAGACCTGAACTGTCACACACACACAAAAACAATTACTGTGGTGTCAATACTCCCACCAACCTGAGTCTCTGAAGAGGTGCCCACCACCAGCTCTTGGGCCTGCGGGACCGGCCCCAGCACACCCCTGCCCAGCTGCTGGTGAGATGTCTCAGAACACAGCACTCATTCCGGTTCCACAACCGTGGCTTCTCCCACCTCTGCTCCCACGGCCAGCTGCCGTTTCTCTCTCTGCAGCCCTAGAGGTGAACACTTGATTCTATCACCTTGTCCCTCGGAAAGTTCTTTCATGAGACTGTGACGTAAGCCACTGGGCATCCTGACGGGCTCCTCTGAGCCAGGTGACCTCTCCTCCTTCAACTGTGGCTGGGATGACAGACTCACATGTTACACAATGCGGTCGCCTATGCAAAAACAAAACAAAACAAAAAGACAAAGCCCAGGCAGCGGTACTACCTTTCTAGGAGCAGCCTCTTTCAAAGGGCATCTGAGAGCCCGACAGGCATGCAAGCTCTAACCTCTCTAACATACTGTTCTCCGTTCTTTAATGATATCCCTCAGCCACTTCACAAAGCTTTGGGACAGCCCCCACCCACTGCCTCCAAGGAATATCTTGATTGGATGCCAAGAACTGCAAGCAGGAGCATGGGCCTGCTAGGACTAGATACTAAGCCCCAGTCATGGTGAAAAACCCCTAAGTTAGTACTTAAATTCAAGTGCCACTTTCTTTTAAAAAATATATTTTTTTTAATTGATTTTTAGAAAGAGAGGAAGGGAGAGGGAGAAAGAAAGAAAAACATCGATGTGAGAGCGGAACATTGACCAATTGCCTTCTGGATGCCCCCTACCAGGGATGAAGCCAATGTCCTGGGCATGTGCCCTGACCAGGATTCGAACCAGCAATCTTTTGGGGCACGAGATGATGCCCAACCAACTGAGTCACACCAGCCAGGGAGCAAGTGCCATTTTCTAAACCAGTAATGATCAATGGAGAATATGAGAATTACCTCCCAGGAGGATGTCACATGCTCTCCAGAAGAAAGTTTTTCAGAAACTAGGCTCAATCCAAACTCCCAAAATTCTCTTTTGCTATCCTGGGAAGTAGAATAATTGTCTCTCTCACCCTGCCTGTCACCGATGGGAGTGGGTCCCATGCCTCAGTGTGCTGAGAACGTTTTTCTCAGGAACGGGAGGGACTGGCTAAGAGAGGTGCCTGACATTTTCTCTCAGATCTTTTCTGATCTATGACACCCTTTAAGCACCTCATCACCAAATGCACTAAAATGACAAAGACTCGCCCAGCTGGCATGGCTCAGTGGTTGACCTATGAACCAGGAGGTCATGTTTTGATTCCTGGTCAGGGCACATGCCAGAAATTACAGGCTTGATTCTCTCATCATTGGTGTTTATCTCTCCCACTCCCTTTCTCTCTGAAATCAATAGAAAAGCTTAAGTGACCATTGCTACCAAACAGGCTGCGTGGGGCAACCAGGCTGGCAGGGAGGACAGTTGTGGGTGATCAGGCCAGCAGGCAGAGGCTGTTAGGGGTGATCAGGCTGGCAAGGGGGCAGTTAGGGGCGATTAGGCAGGCAGGTGAGCTGTTAGGAACCAGCAGTCCAGGATTGTGAGAGGAATGTCCAGATTAGAGAGGGTAGAGGCTGCGCTGAGGGGACCCTTCCCCCATGCACAAATTTTGTGCACCAAACCTCTAGTATATATTACAAACCATAAGAACTGTACCATTACATTACGTAGAACCCCTAAAAAAGATGGAAGACTGGATTAAAGTGAGCCTTGCCCTTCTGTTCAAGGTAAAATGGTTTGTCTGCATCTCAAATGGCATATATTTTACTTTATTTTGCACAGTGGAAGCCATTACTCTTGCTGATGAATTCTGGAGAGATTTGAAGTATGTATTCCAATGATGGATGGGCTGCCTAATTCTACCAGTTTTGGCTGAGGATATGCTACAACAAGTAATACATAGTTAACAAGATTTTCAATATTATAGAGAATCAAA